TTCGGCTGAGGTGAAATTTCTAGGTTACCTAGTATCTTCTGAAGGCACCCGCCCGCCACCGGAACGCGTCGAAGCCCTACGACAGTATCCATTGCCAAAATCTATGCAAGGATTACGCCGGTTTTTGGGAATGGTAAATTTTTATCGCCGGTTTATTCCCAAAGCTGCCGACCTGCAAGCACCACTTCACGGTATTCTCAAAGGCCCGAAGACAAAAGGTTCCCAACCGATAGAATGGACTCCCGAGTTAGAAAAAGCGTTCACCACATGCAAAGAAAGTCTTGCGACCGCTACTCTTTTAGCACATCCTCATCCAGCCGCACGACTTGGACTATTCACAGACGCATCTAGCCAATCTATCGGCGCATGTCTGCAGCAGCGAGTCAATAACATCTGGCAACCCATAGCATTTTTTTCAAAGAAAATGTCGGTGAAACAAAGTGCGTGGCCTGCGTATTATCGTGAGTTGCTTGCCATCTATGAATCGGTGAAGTATTTCAGGCACATTGTCGAAGCACAACCATGTACCATTTTCACCGATCATAAGCCACTCGTATATGCTTTCACCCAACGGAGAGAAAAGATACCTCCTACGCAACTCAACCAGTTGACATTCATATCCGAATTCACCACCGACATTCAACACATTAAAGGTGATGAAAATATCGTCGCGGATACAATGTCACGCATTGAAGTTGTGTCTCTCCCGCTGGACTACCGAGCTCTTGCTGCATCTCAAGACACGGATGATGAACTCAAACATTTTACTGACAACAATTCATCTCTTCATTTGGAGAAGGTACTAGTGCCAGGATCTTCAGCCTATATTTATTGCGACACGTCAACGGGACGCCCACGACCATTTTTGCCACAACGATTCCGGCGTCACGCATTTGATCAGTTACACAACCTTAGTCACCCCGGTGCACGCGCAACAGCTCACTTAGTTTCAGAACGATTTGTGTGGCCAGCAATGAAAAAGGATTGCCGTTCCTGGGCACGTGCCTGCGTCCACTGTCAGCGATCGAAAATAAGCCGACACGTCTCAGCCCCACTGGGAAACTTTGAAACACCTTCACGCCGATTCAAACATGTTCATGTCGATATCATCGGTCCATTGCCGCCATCACAGTCCTTTAGGTACTGTCTGACGGTAATCGACCGTTTCACCCGTTGGCCGGAGGTGTATCCACTCGAACGTATAACAGCAGATGATGTCACTAAGGGTTTCCTCAATTGCTGGATTTCACGCTTCGGAGTACCTCAATACGTTACGACTGACCGTGGTACTCAGTTTGTTTCAGCTACTTTAAAAACTTTAGCAAAACGTTTTGGTTTTACGCTTCGCCCCACTACCAGTTGGCATCCTGCTGCAAACGGATTCGTCGAACGAATGCACCGACAACTAAAGGCAGCCATCATGGCCCACGCAAAAGACTCGTGGACTGAGTCACTGCCTATCGTGCTTCTCGGAATACGTTCTGCGTTTAAGGAAGACTTAAAAGCCACGTCTGCGGAACTTGTTTATGGTGAGCCTCTTAATCTTCCTGGTGATTTCTTCACAGACAAGCAAGATAATAGCAGTACGAACGACCCTACTAGCTTACTAGATCGTCTTCGCAGTGTTATGAATAAAATTCGTCCAGTACCTGCATCTCGCCACTCAAATCCACGATCATTTGTTTTTGCGGACCTTAAGGACTGTTCACACGTATTTCTCAGGGAGGGAGGTGTCCGAGCAGCACTTCAACCGCCATATCAAGGTCCCTACGAAGTAATTGCCCGAAATGACAAAACGTTCACAATAAAAGTTCGAAATCAATCAGTTACGGTGACGATTGATAGAGTAAAACCTGCCTACCTCATGGTGAACGAAAGCACAACCGTTAGCCAGGCACATGCTCCACCAGCGACTGCCCCGGATACGACCAAACAGAAACAACCGCCTAATACCGATCCATCAACACAGCCAGTACGAACAACTCGCTCAGGCCGCCGAGTCAGATTCCCGGACATTTTTGACCCTAGCTAACTCCACTCCGTAGGGGGGTGGTGTGGCGGTCGAATATTCTAGAATGTCCGGCCGCCGCCGCCTCTAGAAGATTCGTCGCTCTACATAAGCGTGTGGCGGTCGAATGTCTAGAGAGTTCCGACGCCGCCTCTAGAAGATTCCTCTGACTATTTAAGGGCAAGATCGTCGCTCCAGTCAGTCAGTCGATCAGTCAATCACTTACGCATTCTGTCTTACACGCGCTTCGTTTCTCGCTGTTATTTATTAGTTCGTTGTAATACAGTTCGTCTCTCGCTGTTATTTGTTATTTGTTAGTTCGTTGTAATATAGTATAGTTGTTATTAAATCGTAAAAGTGTTTATTACTTCTATATATTACACCTCGCTACAATTATGTAGGGATTTTCGGTTAGGTCTATCATACAAGTTGCTTTATTGTGCACTTGTTTGCCCTATTGTTGAGTATAGTGCCGTAATTTGGGATCTGCATGAGCTCAATGACTCTCTTAGACTTGTAAGGGTTCAGCGTAAATTTATGAGATATGCTAGTTTTAGATTGAATATCCCTTGTGAACCCCACAACTATGGACCAGTTGCTTCTCAACTAGAACTGGTTTCGCTGGCTGAGCGTAGACGGATCTCGGGTATTAAGTTCCTAAATAGTTTATTACAAGGTAATATTGATTCTCCCTATTTGCTTTCTTTAATTTGTTTTAGAGTTCTTCAACGTCATTCCCGATCTGTTTCTCTTTTTTATGTTCCTTTCGCCTCCACTAATTACCTTAAAAATGAGTCTATTACACGTATAATGTCAAATGCCAACGTTGACCTTTCATTTTTTCTTTGCCTATAATTAACTAAATAGCTGTTAATTTATTATTTATCATATTTGTACAATTAATGTATAACTGATATGTATAAAGTGTATATATGTGTCAAAGGGCTTATTCCGTTTATTTAATAAAAATAAAATTAAAATAAACACTGAAATGTTGTTAAATTTTATGTTTTTTTATTAAAATTTTTAATTGCTAGCTAGAAATTGCTCACTTCACACTCATGATTTCTAAAGATATTTATTTTTTTATGATTTAATTATTTTTCTTAGACTTCCAATTTTTTTTAGTAGATTAGTCATATAAATTTATTTTTATTATCCAGGCATTTTGGGTAGCAATGTATGTTTCGGCGTTCGAAGTTCCGGATTCAGTCCTCGGGGTGCCAATGAGATTTTACTTGTGGTTTTCTCATTGGCGATGTCTAGTGTGATCTTGGAAGTTTAGGATTTCTATTCTAATTGGTTAATTATAATGGGCATGTAGGCGTTACTTGAAAATCTGTACAATAACTAGATTTTATCCCATAATTAGCTGGTTATTTTGTATTTTAAATAAGGGAACCCCGTTTTGGTGATCTTGTACAATCATAATATGTGACATACATGTACAAACGATAACATCACATTATATGTTAATATTATATGTGATAATGTAATATTACACGACCTGGAGTTATAAAAATTCTATATCTCCTCCTCAAATGTACGTTAGGTTTCTAGAGTTACAGCTTATATTTAAAAATTAATTTTTCAAAAAATTTAGTCATTAAATGGTTCTGTTAATAAAATTTATTTTAAGCGTATTTTTAATGGAATTTGAAACCAAACAATAATATATTACTGATTAAATTACATTTTTTATGCTCTAGGCTTTGATAGCTGGGGCCCTACGAGCTTCATGCGCCTTCGTACAACATTTAAGAATTTTTGGGTCATACTTATAAGTAGGCCACTAAATTTTGGTAGGAGTAAGTGTACGATAAGTGTTTTGCAGGAAAAATATTTCATCAGAATCATTATAACAAAAACATATTAAAAATTGAATTAATAAAATCAGGAAAATTCAAAAAGAGAAAATAGTAAAATATATTGTATATAATGTTTGTTTAATGATGTATTCATTTGGGGCGTATTTAATTTTTTTTAATTTGGTAAACATGTTATAGAAACCTTTTTGCAAAAATCAAAGTGATGATCAAAAAATATGATATTAGAGCCATATTTCAAAGAAGTTTGCTTGAAATAATTGGATAAATTGAATTAATTTATTAACGTCGATGTATAAGAGAAAAGAAACAAGTACTTAAAAAAAAAAAAAAAAATTATTGTGATAACTGTGAGCATTTTTACATTTAATCGACTGACATCACTATAATTTGAATATGTTATTTTGCTTTCAGTTTATTGATATTTTAATTTAATTTACATATAACAATATGTAAAATTATCATATTATTAATAGTAAATAATCTTCTGAAAACTAGCGAAAAGTAACATATAAAAAATAAATATAGTCATTAAGTTTATTAAGCTAACTTTAGTCTAAAGTTAGCTCAATTAATGTGTTAAAAAAACATTCCAATAAAGTTGGGATCTGGAATAGTAAGACTTAATACAGTATAATTAAGTATAGATTGAAATCTGACGGTAATTAACATCACTATCCAATTGCGTAGCGGGAGGTCATGACCCTCCCCCATTGAGATCAATATTTTATTTATAAAATGAAATAATAGTCAAAACTAAAAAAGTTCATAATATGGAATTTTGTAGATTGTTTTACTATTTTTTCATATTACACTTTTTATACGAAGTGTGGCAAAGGGTTTTTATGGGATTTATAAGGTACAAAACAATAACATCACCATAAAATGAGCAATATATATAATTAGCTAGAACTATATATAACAATGCTATATATATTATATTGAATATAGCATATTACCATATATATAAATTAAATTTTATAACAATTTTAGTTTATTATATAATCTTTAAGTAATATTCAACGTTTCATAGAAAGCAGAGAAATCATACACTACAATTAAAGAATTACGAGATTAATTTATAGGTCATCAACTATTTAGTTGATTTTGTTTATTTATGAAAATAATCAAACGCGATAAAATTAGAAAATAGATTTGTAAATAACACAATTTAAGATAAAATGGTTACCCGACGAGCTATGATAACGAGACGCAAAAAGTATTTTCGTTACAGAACAAAAGTGGAACCTAGTAACAGTGCTCCAAGAGGTCTATGATCATAATTCAAATTCAAAAATAAATTTTAAGTTAGGCCAGTTCAATTTGTTACAGGAATCGTCATAAAATTGGACGAGTTTCGGATGATGTTTCCTGTAACAATTATCTTATCGGTGAATAAGTAACAATAATCCAAAGTTCACAGTTTATCATAAAATACAAAAGCATGTCATTATTAAAACAATTATTATTTTAAATATATTTTTTGATTTGCTAATCTAAAAAATTACATACTAAAGAAAATATTTTAGGAGACTAAAATCAAATAAATCTTATAAGTTTCCATAAAAATGAATTTAGAAAACTTGAAATCAAATGTAATGAAATTATAGTAGGAATAAATTAATAATACAATTTTTTTATAGTCTAATAAACTTAATCATACATGTTTTTATAGTTTGAAAGAGATGGTTATGTAATTCTTAACGACTTCTTTAATGAAAACGAGGTAAAAGAAATGAAAAATGCTGGCATTGAGTTAACACAGAATGTTCCGGTAGATGCCAAAACTGTATTTAAGACCAGTCAGGCTAGTCAGGTAAATCTTTTTAAATTTTTTTTTGAAAATAAGTTCATTAAATGCAAAATTTAATGGGACCATAAAATATTTTTTATCTAGGAAGGGTTAGATTATTAAGGATAAAAGATTTCAGGAGTTACCTTCATCACTTTTTTTATTTTTACTTGAGATGGTCCCTGATGACCTATCTTAATTGTCTTCTTAATTTAGGTCTATATGCCCAAATTAAATACAAAAATAACATAATATTATAAAACATATTTTTTACAGACAAGTTTTTCACACATTATTTTTATTTTTGTGATGAATTGTAGTATAGTGTTGTAATAATAATAAATATATGATTTAAACTAATTCAGAAAATAAGTATTTATTATATTAGGAAACAAATAAATACTTTATGGAAAGCAGTGACAATATCGGATACTTTTATGAAAAAGATGCATTGGACAACAACGGTGATTTAATGATAGACCAATCTCTAGCTTTGAATAAAGTTGGGCATGCTTTGCATCGATTGAATCCTATTTTTGAAGTGTATACTTATAGTGAGAAAGTGATTAGTGTATGTAGAGCTTTAGGTTTAATCCAACCAGTGGTTGCTCAAAGTATGTACATTTACAAAAACCCAGGAATTGGAGGGGAAGGTAGAAGTAAATTTTTACAAAAAAATAAATCACAATTAACATGTTTTTTATAATTTTAGTGGTTCCACACCAAGATTCTACATTCTTATATACAGAACCAGATACATTAGTAGGTTTTTGGATTGCATTAGATAATGCAACACTAGAAAATGGTTGTCTATGGGCAATACCTGGGTCTCATAAAAGCCATGTGTACCAAAGAATGTTGTGTAATCATGCAGATAATTTAAAAAAACAAACTTTTCAAGGAATTTTTCCCAAATTTAATGACTCTGATTTTATACCACTAACGCTAAAAAAATGTAAATTATGTAAAATTAATTTAAGTGTATAGTATTCTACATTTATTTTTTTCTATAGCTGGACTTATATTGATACATGGTCGAGTAGTTCATAAGAGCGATCACAATAAATCTCTTTTATCAAGGCATGCTTACACATTTCATGTTTATGATGAAGATAAAAGTAAATACTCAGAACAAAATTGGTTACAAACAAAAATTGGATTTAAAGCATTATACATATGAAATGTTTAGCATTAAAACAAAAAAATTTAATTTTTTTGTTTTTAATTGATGATTTTTTCTTAAACATTCACATAATCATATTTAGGAGAGTAACGGCTTTCATGAAACTAAGAATCTCCACCATAGAATATTTTATACTGTGCTTCTTCTATTAATAAAAATTGATAGCTAAAATTTTTTTGTAAATCTTTTAAAGAAAGGATACTTACAATACTACTTGGAAATACATTATTTTAAAGTTCTTTTTAATCTAACTATGTGATATATTAAATGTAAATTAATTTAACAGCTGAAATAACTGATTATCACCAAATTTATTTTTTAACTAAAGTTAAACAATTATAAACATAATAAATTTGTCAACTTAACAAATATTTTCAAAACAAAAGCGCCAATAGTTAAAATAATAAACACAAGTTGTAGATAACTTTTAGAATATTTAAATTTAAAAAATTGGTTACAGTAACATATTTTAAATTGTTTAAAAGTAAAAAAAAACAACATAATTTTATAATTTATAACAAGTGAAAAATATTTTTAAATTTACCTCTTTATGCTTAATCACTACTTAAGAGACATACTTCTTATTAGACTTAAAGGTAGTTATTTATTTTCATACACATTTTCTTTACATAATTTACTATTTAAAATATTGTTAATAGATGATAAATGATTTTGAAATGAAACTAGTACATAAATAAAAGAATTTCTGAAAATTAATAAACATTTGAACATTAGCAAATTTTATAATATTTTTCTCAAAAATAAGAAATAATACATACTTTTCTTTCATTAAACAAAAGTCTACAATACTTTCTTTGCTTAATTTACAAAAGTTCTTATTAAATTCAACTATTGATTTATAAAATTCATCAATAGTATCATTGCCATTTAATATACTTTCTGAATCTAAATCATGGATTCTGAAATTTTTATAAAAATACTTATGAAAGGAATACAAATTTTAATTTGAAAAAGTACTTACTTTAACATAATTTCAACAATAGATGTCACTTTATAACGAAAATCATTGATTTGTGAATCTAATATTAGTTTTAAAGGAAACAAAGAATTAATATTATCTTTAGACTTTTCCATTGAACTACGAGCGAGTCCATTGGCCTGATAAACATGAGAACTATATAAAAACAATTAATAATACATTAAATAAGATACTATATTTTTTCTAAAGTATGTAATATAGTATTTTACCAATATCTATCAATGCCTAATAAAATTTCGTCAAATATATTTTCAACATTCATTTTTTCCTTAGATACTTCTAACTTTGACAAACTTAGTGACAATGATTCTTCTTCAGTTAAAGAACCAATAATTTTTTGTTTTAGTATTTTACGAGCTACCTAAGGTTTTAAAACATATTAAAATATATTTTGAATCTAATTTAGTTTTATGTACTACAATGACTCTGTAAAAGGATATGCAAGATTTTTGTTTTAAAATAAAAGTTATTTTTAACTAAATAAAAAGTTAAAACCATTTACATTTAATTATTTACTTTAAGAATAAAAAAAAAATGATTAAGGAAAATACGTATCTGTTTATTGATATCCATTAGTATAATTTATTAAGAATATCTACTTGAAAATTAAATAGATAGATATATAAATAACATTTAATTTTAAATATATTTCAGAAAAAAAACTCGTAAAACAGTGAAAAATGAACGGATTGAATTGATTTTTCTATCATATCTCAGGAATGTCATTAGGCGAGTCTGGTGAAAATTACAAATCTTAAGTCGTAAAACGCTTGCGTTTTCGAAAACGGTCGAAATTTTAAAACACTCGTGGGCGAACGGCAAAAATTTTTCGACCTTTGCCAATAATTTTCCCGGAGTCTGGTGACTAAGGTACTTTTGTTGAAAACAATTTTTTGGAAATTCGAGCACGCTAAGTAATTTTTCCAGAAAAGCGTTTTTTCCGTGTTCTATTATATAATAAGATACTTATTATACACTTTTATTTATTCTTAATTATTTTCAAAAGTAAATAAATAATTTATATAAATAATATTAACTATTTTTTTTTATTAATATACATGGGGGTCATTCCATGTGTAATCACCTAATGTGTGTGCTGGTATAGTTCAGAAATTTATATCATAGACTTCTTAAAAGTCATTGACAACAAAAATAATATATTTTTTTTTTTTTATTGTTTTTTTACCAGATAGTGCATTTTTTATAATTAAAAATACGCAAATTGTAAATTTTGTAAATTCTATAAGTAGCGTTAAATTTATTTCTCCATCATAAAATTTTCACCAGACGTTTTAATTGCCTAAAGAAAAGTACTATGTAAATTTGAAAAAAATTCGTTCAGTCACTTTTGTGTAATGAGATGATAAAGTTGGCTATTTTCAGCAAACCTTGCATGTTCAAGACCGTAAAACGATAAAAAAAAAATTATAAATTTATTCAAATATGATATGGGTTAAAAGAACATTACTAAAAGTTTCTGAAAAGAAAAAAAAATTTTAATTAAAAAATTGTTTGACCTTCAAATTTTGCTATTAAAAGTACTGCAAAATTAAAAAAATTTAAATCAAAATTTTGATGTTCAAAAAAATTCAAAATTTATAAACTTAAGAATGAAATTGAAGTACTATTTAATATGAGTAAAACAGTGCTAGTTCCACAGTGATAGCTTATTTGGATGTGAAGTTATAGGCTCTAGAACATAGGCTGTTTTTTCATGTTTTTAATTATAAAAAATGCACTATCTGGTAAAAAAACAATAATAAAAAAAANTAATTATAAAAAATGCACTATCTGGTAAAAAAACAATAAAAAAAAAAATATATATTATTTTTGTTGTCAATGACTTTTAAGAAGTCTATGATATAAATTTCATACATTTCTGAACTATATCAGCACACACATTAGGTGATTTCACATGGAATGATCCATGGTCATACACTTATCATAAGGCTAAAGGTGTGGAGATCAGATCTTGAAGAAAAGGGATTAGGAATAAGTAGGAGTAAGACAGAGTATAGAGTACGAGTTTGACAAAGGAGAATTTGAGGTAGGGGAAATGAAGAGATCAGTGACAATAAGTGAGGACGTGATAGGAAAAATGGAACCTTATAAGTATTTAGGATCAGTTGTGCAAAAGAGCGGTGGTATTGACGAGGATGTTAGATACAGGATTAAGTAAGGGTGGTTGAAGTGGCGAGAAGAGTCTGGTTTGTTATGCGATAAGAGAATTCCAATGAGGCTGAAAGGTAAATTCTATAAGACTGTAGTAGGACCAGCTATGATGTGATGCTTAGATGGATGAGTGAAGTGACTAGACAAGATAGAATAAGGAACGAGCATATAAGAGGGAGTATAGGTATAGCGTTAAACGTGGATAAGATGAGAGAAAATAGACTTAGATGGTTTAGTCATGTTATGAGGAGAGAAGAATCGGTAACTATAAGAACAGTAATAGAAATGAATGTTGAAGGAAGAAGAGGTAGAGGAAGACCAAAAAAGAGATAGGGGGATGCTATTGAATGTGATTTGAGGACAGCTGATGTGAGCGTAAATGATGTGGGAGATCGTGTCAAATGGAATTTTAAGATAAGGGTGGCTGACCTCAAGTAGTTGGGATTAAGGCGAGGAAAAAGAAATATTTTTTATTTTTTACAGGCTTAAATGAAATATAGATTATTAAAAAACATGCACTATTTATCAAACTTCACAACATGCAGTTTTATACTCCAGTGGTAAACTATTGCAAGTTTATTATTTTTTTTAGTAAGGTAATACTTTTTTAATTCAAAATATATTCTTTTATTAGCTGTTACAACATTGGATTAATAAAACAGAAATATGTGAGGAAAGTAAAATTAATATATTTAATATACTATTAAAATAAAATAATTGTATACCAGTTTGTGATAAAATAGAATAAACTTACCATTAAGTCATTTAATAATACATCTGTGATATTAAAATACTCATATGGTAAAGCATTTATTATTTCTGCACAGTATTTCAAAAAATTATAAACTGTAGATGAATCAGTCATGTTAGTAGCTAAAATGTAATTATAGAACATAAAGTTATCAGATAAAAATTAAAATAATTTATTAATTTTAACTTACATAATTGTGAAGTGTCTTTGATAAATTCTTCCAACCATACTAATTGAAATTTAGGAAAATTATATAAATTTTTAGGAGCCACTATATACCAGTTAGTATTTAGCTTGGATATTATTTGAGTTAGACTCAAAGGAGGATTCAAAGAAAATACTTTCCACCATGATTTTGTTACGCTATTGGAATGAACAGTATAATTACTAGCAGCTAATTTTAAAACCTAAAAAGAAAAAGGAAAAAATTAAATATAAATTAATTTAATTTCAAATAATTTGCCGAAGATGTAATAATTATATTACTTAATAAGTCACTAAGATAAGTTGATAGTATATTAAAATATTTGAACATATACATTAATCAACTTTTAAATTCGAATTAACTGTACATAGGTGTTTACTGCAGGTTTTTAGTTTTTCACTTTTTTATGGTTAGTAACGGAGTATAATGCGACCGTCTATAGTCTGTTTGGTCGACACCGATTAATAAAAAAAAAATACGAAAATAAAGAAATAGAATTCAAGCTACTATAGTGAAACAGAAACGAATAAGCATAAAATATGTTGAGCAAAAAGAAGATATCATTTCATTCAACTACTCAACACGCTTCTGCATATTCACTGAACAAACAGAAGACTTGAGTACTGAAGCCACTGTTTCTGACCACCGTTCACTGTCATCTGTTTATATCGCCATCATCGTCGCAATCTTGGTTCACTGCCCATCATCGCTTGTGCCGATCGTCATCCAATACTGTCAACGCTTTCGCCATTGTGGCCGCTCTCAGCAACCATCGTCACCGTTGATATTTAATACACTGTCACTGTGAAGTCATCGCTATAGTCAAGAACGTTGTCAACTAGCAGCAGCAGTTATCCCCGATCCATTTATGTGAGTTATGATCTTAACGTCTACATAGATGTATTGTGTCGTGTTCCCGGTGGGCCCCTTGTTCTTATATGTATTGTAACAAAAGTGATGGTGCTAATGTAAGTAACTATCAGAAGAATCTTGGTCTGCATTACTTACGTCGAAGTCCATACGCAAACGGTCTATTGAGACCAGTCATGGCAGAGATTATAGCAAGCTCTGACGCATCATCACCAACAAATCAAGTATCAGTGACAAGACGCGGGTCGCCATGCCATCCTATTAACCGTGGACTCCGCGTCAGTGAACATCCAACATCTGTGGTAGAGTAACGTCTCCACAGAATACACATACCGAACATATATTATGATGTTAATATTCGTACATGTGTAAATAGTATTTTTATTGTATTATTCAATTTAAAATGGTGTTCATATATTTGTAATATTCAATATAAATAAAGTTAATTTCATCAGTTGTTGCCTAATAGTGCTCAAAGCAGCCCGAAATCTAAAATCACAAGATAACAAGAAACATGTCGAAAACAAAAAGCCGAGTAATAGAGCAGTCATCAAGTCAATTTACTACGGATGATAATATCATCAGTATTATAATGCTCCGCCTAAATGAAGTAGAAAGCATAAATAAGTCTAGTAAATGAAAACAAACAAATAAAAGAAGTTGTTACAAAACTACAGACACATATAAATTCAGTATTTGAAAATCTAAAATAATAATCATCGACATCAAAGAAGAATTAATTAATATAAAAACAACTATCAATAAACAATAACCAATATACAAATCAGAAAAATTAAGTTCTACAGAAATGACTGCCGAAATTTTTATACAATGTACAGAAGTAGGGAAAAAAACCTATAAGTACTGGACATATGAACATATTCACCACAGTATAACAGTTATTAAATTTATTAGATTTGTTTTAATCTATATTTATTAGTTATTTAAATTAAAATGATGCTTGTGTATTTATAATAATCAATATAAAGTTAAGCAAATCAGGATTTCATATAAAAAATAGTTTTATAGATTTGAGAGTCAATTTACAGTATTATTTTTTTTTTTTGTAATAAAAAAATTTAATAAATTACACTGGTTAGATTTCAAAGGCATTTCATTTAAAATCATATAAAAAATTGGTAATGGACAAAATGTGTAAATTATGCACACAAGATTGGATCCATTGTTAATAAACACAGAAATTAATTTCAAAATGATTTTATAGGAATCATATGTAAACTACTTAAAAATATAATAGTATTTTGTTTTAATAATAAATCTGTTTTTTTTTTAGTATTATTTCTATAATGAAAATTGTTAACCACTCTATATTTGTAGTAAATTTAATTAGACTGTAGTTTATACAATTCATTAAAAGTATTCTATTTTTTCTTGATATCTCAAGAAAGACAAGTCATTTGTTAATATAATTTTATTTCTTATTCAGTTTAAAGGATACCTGAGTATTTTATTAACAAATGAACCTAATGTTTCATCAGTAATCAATATAAAATTAATGATAAACTTACCCTAGCAAATGTGTTTTCCAAATGGGGTCCTAATTTTACCAACAAACTATCTTCAACTTTTGGAAACATCATAGCAACAGCTAAACAATCAAGTTAATATAATAATAACTAAATAAGTATGTACTTAATGGTTTAAAAATCAAACTACTCATTAAATTTTTTTTTTTTTGTACAATAATTATTACATAAACAATGTTTTTTTTATTTATAGACAATTTTTTTAAATATTTTCTTTACCCACTTTTTGCTTACTTTGGCAATAGTAAAATTTTAAATGAATTAAGAATTCAATAATAATTTCATAACTTTTATTTAGTAAAATGTAATGATAGTAAAAAAGACCTAAAAATAAACACAGCATATTTTGTTAAAACATTTATTAATAGAAATATACATATTATATTGAATAACAATACTCAAAAGTAACAGTTCAATGCAATATACATACATATCAGTCAATTAGATATTAATATTTATTTGACAATATTATAAATTCTATATTCTTTTTGATAATGCTTTATTTTAACTTATGTTAACAAAACAAAAATTAATTGTAGATTATTTGTAGAGCTATTATCACATAATACAAATATAATCTTTATTATGAAATACCGTAATTATTATAAAATTAATGAATACATTGGTAATGGTAGGTATTCCATAAAAAAGAAAGATGTATTTTTATAAATATTAAAAAATAGTATCAACTTATAAGATAAAGGTCAATTCACTTTTTATGTTTTATAAGCATTAAAAAATATAGTTTTTTATAGCATTATTTATTTTAGTTAAGAAGAAATAACCTTAAATATGAAAAAAGCTATTAAAAGAGATAATAATAATATTGAAATAAACACAAAATTATAAACATCAAAAAGTTAAATAAGAATCATTACAAGATTACATAACAATATGTTATTAGTCAAAATATTCAAATTGGATAAAAGGTTAAAAAAAAATTATAGTTATTAAACAACGATCAAAATGAAGAGATGCAAAAAGCATAGAAAAAAAAACAAGAAATAATATAAGACTGAGAATAAATTATGTAACTATGCCATAAAATATGTTATGAAAGCTCAGATTAAAATGAAATATGATAACTAAGGAAAAATATTTACAAAATGAAAAATTGTTGTATTCTTATAAATAAAAATAAAACTTTAAATAAAAAAGATACAAGGTGATTTAAGAATTGGCAAATTTACTCAAACATACCCAGTAATTGTGAATTATCTTGAACTTTGAACTGATGAAAAGCACGTCAGTTACAAAAAATGCCTCCTGAAAAAATCCGAATCAAAATATGGTATTTTTTTTATGATTGATTAAAAATTAAATTTTATAATTTATTTTAAATTTATTGAAGGTATGTTCCTGAGGTAATAAAAAAATGCAATACAGCAAATAACGAAGAATTAAACAACTTCAACATAATTTATGATTAAAATATTATAATTCAATTTAATACTAAAATTAGTATATTTTAAGTAGCTATATGAGAGTACCACAAATCAATTGATTTTGACATTATAAGATTTGACCTTTCTTAAAAATGTTTTTATAATATAAAATAATGGTTAAAATCAGGAAAAAAATCATGATTAAATAACATATCAAAATTGATAAACATATATTTTTATATAAAATAAAAATTATTTTTAATCCTATGAAAAGTTTATAATAGTGAGTTATTGCCTTATTTATACATAGGGTTAGAAGCATTGGTAATGGGAGGAGGGTTTAAGTGGTTCAAACCTTCCAATGAAAATAGTAACTGACTAATAAATATTCTTAATTTTTTTATTTAATTACCACTAAAAGAGATTTAAAAAAAAGGTAAAATTTGATAGAAAATTGAAATCTTATTACGCCAAAATTGTTAATTTAAGTTATGTTAATATATGACATGTTATAAAAAAGTGTATATGTAAAAGTAGAAAAAAAAATGTAGAAATATAAACTATTAGTAGAGTTAATTATAAGCTCAGAAGAGATTATTCATTATATTTATTATTATTTATAATTAATTCGAACAGCATGTATGTATATTGCATTTTTAAAGTTTGAATATTTGAATCTTAATATTAAAACTTAGTCTACCACAGATCTTTTTAATAGCATAAATATAATATAAAATTACTTATTATATATTAAAATAATGTAAATTAATTATTTATATATGTAAAAAAAGTCGATATGGATTTATCAAAATGTTCAGCTAAATAAATGGCCATTGTACATTAATGTTTTCTAACCTTTTGATTTACTAGGGCATTAATCTATTTTAATAAAAAAACTTAGGTACTTTGATAATCATAATAATATTTGTATATCAAAATTCAAAACGTTTTGTGAGAAATGGTAAGAAATATACTATACAATAATTAATATTTAAGTATTTTTGTAGTGATTTTTGATAAATTTTAAATTTTAATTTTAAGAAATAAGAAAGATTTAGTTTGCGTTAGCATAATTTTTTTTAAAAATACTACAAGACCAATTAAGTTAAAACTTCTAATATTTCATTTGCAAATTTGTTTTATATTAAAATGTACATTTTATAATCTCTAATTTTTTGAAAATAAAATATAGCTGCAAAAATTCTATTTTTTGATTAGTGTAATATTTATTGTTTGAATTACTTTAATTAAATATAAATTATATTGGAATATAACTAATTATCTTTAAAATAAAATAAAACATTTTATGATATATTTAACTATTCAAAGATTATTTCAGGAATTATAAAAGCAACCAAAAAATACCACACACCAATAAAAACTCAAGTGTGAGAGGATTGTGTAATGCTTAAAACATTATGAATAAACTGCTGATTATATTATTATACCTAGGGTGATTAGATGTCCTTCTATTTATTTGAATTTCATTAAAAGTTCTTAATTTTTAATTTTATTATAAAAAAATCTTTATTTAATTAATTTAAAAACAAATGTTACCAAGTAAGGAGACTATAGATGCCTTATTATATATTTTACACTTTTTTTAGTATTTAAAAATGTATGGCATTTATGTTAATAAGTAATAAAATATGTTATCATAAAAAATATTTTTAACCTTCGAATTTCTTCTTTCAATAGTCTACTCCATTCCAATCTAGCCATCTTAATTATATATTAAAAATGAAGTAGCATAAAAATTGACATAGAAGAACTTTACATAAATAATATGAAATTAAACTAAAATAATGAATATATATTTTTAAACTTTAATACATTTAGTGCAAATGTATTGAGTAAATTAAGTTTTTTTTATAATATTTACTAACCTTGAAAGACTTTAGAACTGTTAGGTTCTTTTGCTTTAACCATATTTTGAAGCCAAATTGAATTTTTAACACATATTCCATTTATTTCTGATTTAACACTTAAAATTTTGTCATCAGTAATGAGAAACTAAAAAATTTATAATTGTTTATTGTTTATTGTAATAAAATATTTTAGAAAGTAACTGATAAATTTTAATAATATGTATTTGTTATTTTTAAACAAACACACAGCATAACATAAATTATAACTAGGGTCAATAATTATATAATAATTTATGAATTTTGTTAAATTATCCTATCAGCTAGTACAAATTTTTATTAATTGGCTTAAACATTTAGTATAGTGTTGTTACTGAATTTGTAGTTTAGGGGTCAAGATGACTGTACTCTAAAAAGTGTAAATTTCTTCCCTCCCTAAAAAGAAAAATACTTCTATATTACTATATAATTCCATGACTGTTCAACAAACTCTTGGTCTTAATAATATTATAACTATTATTATAAATATTATTAGTTATTATATTTCTCTTTTTTTATATTTAATAACACTAACATAATAAAATCAAGATTTAAAAACAAACATTTAAATTTAGCTGTTAGTGAGTTCTTATACTTAGATCATATTTTGTGTTTATAATGAAATTACAGATATAATATGTCAATGAAAAAACTTACCACCACATTTACTCTGTCTCTAATTATTAAAGCACATTTCAAAATAGCATCATCAGCAGTCACATCTTTTTTATTTGTCATTGGTTGTCCTTTAAGCTGTGGATGATTTTTAGAAAGCATTTCTAATAACCACCGAGTAGCTTCTCTTGCACGATATCCTAAGGCATTATCATTGGTTTTCAAACGATCAAGTTCATGAAGAACTTGCCAAGGAAGAACAATTGTTATATACCCAAATTCTAAAAAAATTTCACACACAAAATTATTAAAATTACAATTGATATTTACAATATCATTACCTATTGAATAATAATCAATAATATCCATACATGACTTTAAATTAGACAACAGAATATTAGTATCAATAACTAAACAACAATTTATTTTATCACTGTGCATAATTGAATCAGGAGTACATTCCATAGGTTCAAAATTCTGAGTAGTTTTTCTTAAATCATTAACCTAAAAAATTTATTTTATTAAATTAAAAAAAAAACTTATACATTGTTAAATGTTTGTTGTGTATAAATAAAATATGAATCAATACAGTTTCAATAATATTATCAGTTTCTATATCTTCCCACTCCATTCCATCATCAGATTCGATATTGTTTTGTTGAAAACTTGTACTTCCACTACACAATTTGGAATTTTTTAACCTTGGATTTAAACCTTTTCTTATATTTTCTAACCTTTGTTGGGCAGAAAATTGTCCCAATACATTAAAACTAAAATTATTTGATTCATTTTGAGGTGTCTTTGAAATTGATTCAGATTTATTTAGTGGTAGCTTTGACACACAAGTTTCTAAAGAAAAAAAATTGTTTTCAATTCTCAAGTAATTCATGAAATTAAAAGTATTTGTTCATTTATGTTCATACATTAATTAAATATTAATAAAAGCAAATTTATTTTACAAGACTTAGAAATTATTACTAAATTATTTGATAATGAGATACATATATATTTTTTAATTAAAGACTTAAATTTCATAAAAGTTTAACAAGTCAAATTTTTAACCAAGTTTGTCTTTTATAAATGGTTATGTAAGAGAAAATATTAATTATAGTTTTAACATTTTAAGTTATAAATCTAGTATTTATGATACTAGATACTTTATGGTAAATCCTAATAAAAACCATAATCAATGAGAATTAAAACAAAAACTAAGTAAAATAATTTAAAGTTATCATTGAACTTATCTTCTGAAAGAGATATAGAAATTAATTAAAAAGTTGCAACAGATAGATTAGTTAGATTATCTGAAATTTTTTCTAAATATTTGTTTCCTTGTTAATTTAATAAATAATATTAGATTTGGATAAGTTTTTTTTTATTAAAATTAGTTTATAATACTACATAAGTAAAAAATATAATTATTAAAAAAAAACTTTGTCTATTGTTCAACTACACTACACTACTTGTGGGGGTAGATGATTATAGAGATGTATAAATTATTGAATTAAAAGGAAATATATGGTTTTGTAAGAAGTGCAAGAATAAGAGTTCATAAATAGTGGTTGAATTAAATGAGAAAATAAAAACAACTTCTGATAGAAAAATAAGTATAAGCTTACCTAATTTTTTAGGGATCTGCGTGTTTACACACTGTGCTGTTTTTTCCTGAATATTAATGAACTGTTTATCAATTGTATTAGAAATATTATGTTTATAAGAATTTGTTTTTTTAACATTGGAAATGATGGAATTTGGTTTAATTTTGGAATAAAGTGGGATCTGAGGAGTGTCGTTCAATCTTTTTCTTTTATTTTTGTTCATAGTGTGCACTGAATTATCTTTTTGTTTATCTAAGTAATAAAAAAAAATATTTAAATAATCAGTAGACAAAACTTGTTGGTAAAATATATAAGGAAGGAAAGATTTAACTGGCAATTTATATAACTTTTGATAGTTGCCATATTGTTGTAATTTTTTTTAATAACTTATGCATTCTTAGATTATGTTAATATCATATATTTTGTTATTTGTTTTTAGTAATAAAAAATAAAAATTTGTTTTTTTAATTTAAAATTTTACCAAAATTTTAAAGTAGCTAGTTTTTAGCAATTTTCATACAAAAATAATAAAAGGTTAGATAACAATTTTAGAACTAGTAAATATTTAACAAAGTGATTTTATAAATGGAGTGGGTATGTAACTCTAGTGGAGTATGAATTATAAATATATATCAGTACAAGCTAGTTTAATTTATTTTTAATACTTAATACTGTTATTTAAAATTGTTTTCTATTTAATAATAAATAATGATTACTTTCTGTAGAAGTTGTTGTTGCAGAATAGTCAATGGTTTTTATTTTAGAAGCATTAAGTTTACTAAGAAATTTTGTTTCAGTTAAACTTGTTTGTTGTTTTGATTTGGCATATATTTCATTTCTTGCTTTAGTGAGTCTATTTTGAACGGAAGAAGCTATATATGATAAAAAAAATTGTTAGAAAAATTAATTATAATTTTATTAATTTGTATAGCTTTACAAAATTATATTCCAAAATACTAAGTTTTTCTTTTTAATGAAAATGAAAAATCAGGTCTAAAAAGTTTAAAATTATGTAAAACTTAGTTTATTTCTACAAAGTTACAAATATCAAATAAAATAAAAAGTGCAGTTAATTAGTAATAATACTATTAAGAACATAATGGTGTGAATTCAAACTGATAAATTTACAGTAAATAACTTATTTCTTATAAAGTATAAAATTATATATTATTTATTGTGATTAAAATTTATATCAGGATTTAAAGTAAGAGAGGCACAAGAGGACTCAGTCTCCTAACCTTTAGTGATGGTCAATTAGCGTCTCCTTTTAAAATATTATCTAAATGTTTGTAATTTTATTGGCAAATGGAACATTCAAAATGGTATGGAGATATATGTGTTTTAAGTTTTTTATTTATTTAAGCAGCCCTGTATAACTTAACGTAACGAGGTGTGCACTCTATAGGCATAGCTTAAAAAATTAGTCTGTGGAGGCTACAGCTTATTTATTTCTTAAGTTTGAACCTGAAGGTGAGCTCCTACCTACTACATTGCTTTATTTTACTCCCCCAAAGTAAGAAAAGTAGTGTATTTGTTGGCTATGTATGTGTTTATGTAGACTTAAGTCCCCATGAAAATTATGCTATTGATGCCTTAGCTTCATACTAGTTTAGTTAAAAGGAAAAATTTAGGAAAGTTAAAAAAAATCTTATATTTTTTAAATAGAAATGGTTACAAAATTACTGAAATTTGTTTAGATTAACCTTTTAAGTAATCCTAAATAAAGCTTCATATAGTAAACTTACCTGGAATTGCACATGATTGTTTTATACGATTACAATGTTTATTTTTTATACTACATAAATCTTGCTTAGATGAAATTTTTTCAACAAAAACTTTAGTAGAGAGTTCTTTTGGAACAAATGATGTAGATGTGTTATTTTTTATAACATTTTTAAATTTTATACTTGATTGGTTAATTGAACTTGGATATTTTGATGTATGAGAATTAATTGACAAGTCAGCTATATTATCATACTCAGAAGAAAATATATTTGATAATTTTTTAGCTTTAACTGCTTCTAACCTACGTTGCATAATTCCATTTTCTCTGGCAGATATTTTTGATGTTATAACAGAATTTAATTTTACATGTAAGTTTGAATAATTAGTAAAATCAAATGATTGAGGAACTTGCTCATTTTTTGTTTTAGAATGTTGTTCTAGTTTTTTTTTTGTTTCTAGTGAGTCATTATTATACATCACTTTATTATACATCATAAATTTATTATTGGAGTTATGTTTTTGATTAAGTTTTCCATTTGATGCTGCTTCTTTGGCTGCTTGTATACGTTCATCCAAAGTCTTTCCAAGAGAGTCATCCCCAAACTCAATAGAGAAAGGGGAATAATTATTTGGAGAAAATTGTTGTAGTTTATTTTTACAATTGTCCATAGTGAATTCCTAAAAAATAAAATAGTAAGTTTAGATTTTACAATAAAGTTAGAATAAAATCTTCTATATTGTTATTTTAATTGTCATTAAAATAATAACTAAATTATTTATGAATAATTTATAATTAGTTAATTGTTTCTCTGGAAAATAGGTAAATCATAAATTCGAGATATCGCTATTAAAGGTACTATATTGAAAGTGTAATACAATTAAAAAGTCTCTTTTCTTCTTTTTCTTTGTAAGCAATTATTTTTTAAATAACTGTTATAATAGTATAATTATGTATAAAACTATATCTATGTTTCTAAGAGAATAAGTAATAGTTTATTGATAAGTCCCAATTTTCAGTCTATACTTCAACTGAATAAAAAAATATTTTGTTGCATGAATTTTATTAAAATATATAAAAATAACTTGGTAGCAAAATACTTTTGCAGAATATATATGTACATTTATATATTTAATTTTAAATTTAAGGCTCTATTATTTTGAATTATTCTAATTACAATTTTTATAAAAAATAGATTAAAGGTCAATGTTAACACCCTAAAGAGATTAATAAATTAGTTTTTTCATTATTTTGATTATTTAATTTCTTGATTATAGGATTGATCATTAAATAATTCATAAGTTTTTATCATTTTAATAACTGCGTTTTAATTTAATATTACATCTTCGTCAATTCATAACATTTTCTACTTACATATTATAACCTCAATGAGAAGGGAAAAAATATATTGCACAATGCTGAAAATACGTATTTTTATAGAAAAAAGTTGAGGTATTAGATAATTATCACAAAAATTAAAAAAGAAATAAAAGTTTGAGCCTCTCTTTGACAATTTAGGGAAATAAAAGATAAAACTAATATAACAATCAGTAGAAATACTGTGGAATTTTTACGGTGATCATTAATTTGTTTGGATAATTTAGTGTTATTGTATAAGAAATTCTTAACTTAATCGAAATTACTTCATAAAAAGATAAATAATTTTCTTATCAATTATCAAATTTCATCTGTAGTATTACATACAAATAATGGCGCCATTAACGAATTAGATAAGTTGCTTTTTTATTCACATGTAAAATTTTTTTTTTTATTAATTGAAATGTGACAAATTTTATTATTATTAATTTAAATTATTTCTTTTCACTAGAATATCTCATAAAATAAAGTTTTTTTAACATACTATTATAAGTTGTTTGTTAATAACTATTTATAGATAAGTTACTTATTCAGTATGAGTATGATCGTATTTATAGCACATTATGGAAGTTTTAACTGATTCATCAGGTAAGTTTATTATCGTTCACTTGTATTATTTATTTATTTAAATTTAATTTAATTTATTAAATATTGCTTAATACATTTATTTAATGTTAATTAACTATAGTTTATTCAATAGATCTCAAATTTCTTTTCGACGTTATAAAAATCAGATACCATGATACTACATCTATGTAGTAATTACCTATAGGTAATTATTTCATCACTAACCATTTACTTAATCGAAAATGAAAACAATATTGATAATTTTGTATTGATTTTTTTTAGTTGTTTCTCAATTTGTCAATCATAAAGTATTTTTTATATTCATTCCTTCTACCTTATAAAGGTCTCAACTTAATTTTTTTGTCAAATAGCATCAAATACAATTAAAAAGCTTATTAATTAAATAATGATAATGAATAAATAATATAATAATAAAATAAATTAATAATTAATAAATGAAAATGACTGGTACAAATCACATTTGGGTCTAATATTTCAAAAGTTATTAATATTTTTATACCTGGGCGGTAAAAAAAGTATGGTCCAGAAAAATAACATCACCCGTGCTTTATCTCTACTTATCACTTTAAAGTGTTATTTAATTCTAAAATACGGGTTCAAAAATTGTTATCGATCAATTATATTTTTAATTAGATCATTATCTAATAAATAACCTAGTTAATAATAAATGTTTCTATTTGAAAAAAATAAATTTGATACCCTACTATAAGAAGGCAGAGTATTTAAAGCCCTAAAAAAGACCTAAAATGTTCTCAACAATTTTTTTTAAAAGTTTATTTATAAACAAATATTGCATAAATTAATCATGGATATAGATTAAGCTAATGAAGCGATCAAACTGTTCATAAAACTGAAAGTTAATTTTTACATCAAACTAATAAAATATTTTGTTATTTTTTTGTAAAACATTGTCTTCATATCAAGGATTTATTTGCCCTTGTGGTCTAGGGTTAGAATAGGACCACAGTAATCTTTGCTTTACGTAAAAGGCGATTAAAAGGAGGTTACAAAAGGCAGCAATAACCGTTACTATCGACTATTGACGATTTCCGTAGCGGATCGTACGGCAATGAAAAGGCTTTGATGATGGAAGCTTGAAGATAGCTTCAGTACTGGTTGGGTATATATACTATATTACAACGAACTAACAAATAACAGCGAGAGACGAAGCGCGTTTAAGACAGAATGCGTAAGTGATTGACTGATCGATCGATTGACTGGAGCGACGATCTTGCCCTTAAATAGTCAGAAGAATCTTCTAGAGGCGGCGGCGGAACTCTCTAGAACATTCGACCGTCACACCACCCCCCTACGAAGTGGAGTTAGCTAGGGTAAAAAATGTCCGGGAATCTGACTCGGCGGCCTGAGCAAGTTGTTCGTATTCTTACGTACATTTCGTATTGTTTGGGCGTATTCGGGGAAGTCGCTGGTGGAGCATGTGCCTGGCTATCGGTTGTGCTTTCGTTCACCATGAGGTAGGCAGGTTTTACTCTATCAATCGTCACCGTAACTGGTTGATTTCGAACTTTTATTGTGAACGTTTTGTCATTTCGGGCAATTACTTCGTAGGGACCTTGATATGGCGGTCGAAGTGCTGCTCGGACACCTCCCTCCCTGAGAAATACGTGTGAACAGTCCTTAAGGTCCGCAAAAACAAATGATCGTGGATTTGAGTGGCGAGATGCAGGTACTGGACGAATTTTATTCATAACACTGCGAAGANAATGGCTAGATGCAGGTACTGGACGGATTTTATTCATAACACTGCGAAGACGATCTAGTAAGCTAGTAGGGTCGTTCGTACTGCTATTATCTTGCTTGTCTGTGAAGAAATCACCAGGAAGATTAAGAGGCTCACCATAAACAAGTTCCGCAGACGTGGCTTTTAAGTCTTCCTTAAACGCAGAACGTATTCCGAGAAGCACGATAGGCAGTGACTCAGTCCACGAGTCTTTTGCGTGGGCCATGATGGCTGCCTTTAGTTGTCGGTGCATTCGTTCGACGAATCCGTTTGCAGCAGGATGCCAACTGGTAGTGGGGCGAAGCGTAAAACCAAAACGTTTTGCTAAAGTTTTTAAAGTAGCTGAAACAAACTGAGTACCACGGTCAGTCGTAACGTATTGAGGTACTCCGAAGCGTGAAATCCAGCAATTGAGGAAACCCTTAGTGACATCATCTGCTGTTATACGTTCGAGTGGATACACCTCCGGCCAACGGGTGAAACGGTCGATTACCGTCAGACAGTACCTAAAGGACTGTGATGGCGGCAATGGACCGATGATATCGACATGAACATGTTTGAATCGGCGTGAAGGTGTTTCAAAGTTTCCCAGTGGGGCTGAGACGTGTCGGCTTATTTTCGATCGCTGACAGTGGACGCAGGCACGTGCCCAGGAACGGCAATCCTTTTTCATTGCTGGCCACACAAATCGTTCTGAAACTAAGTGAGCTGTTGCGCGTGCACCGGGGTGACTAAGGTTGTGTAACTGATCAAATGCGTGACGCCGGAATCGTTGTGGCAAAAATGGTCGTGGGCGTCCCGTTGACGTGTCGCAATAAATATAGGCTGAAGATCCTGGCACTAGTACCTTCTCCAAATGAAGAGATGAATTGTTGTCAGTAAAATGTTTGAGTTCATCATCCGTGTCTTGAGATGCAGCAAGAGCTCGGTAGTCCAGCGGGAGAGACACAACTTCAATGCGTGACATTGTATCCGCGACGATATTTTCATCACCTTTAATGTGTTGAATGTCGGTGGTGAATTCGGATATGAATGTCAACTGGTTGAGTTGCGTAGGAGGTATCTTTTCTCTCCGTTGGGTGAAAGCATATACGAGTGGCTTATGATCGGTGAAAATGGTACATGGTTGTGCTTCGACAATGTGCCTGAAATACTTCACCGATTCATAGATGGCAAGCAACTCACGATAATACGCAGGCCACGCACTTTGTTTCACCGACATTTTCTTTGAAAAAAATGCTATGGGTTGCCAGATGTTATTGACTCGCTGCTGCAGACATGCGCCGATAGATTGGCTAGATGCGTCTGTGAATAGTCCAAGTCGTGCGGCTGGATGAGGATGTGCTAAAAGAGTAGCGGTCGCAAGACTTTCTTTGCATGTGGTGAACGCTTTTTCTAACTCGGGAGTCCATTCTATCGGTTGGGAACCTTTTGTCTTCGGGCCTTTGAGAATACCGTGAAGTGGTGCTTGCAGGTCGGCAGCTTTGGGAATAAACCGGCGATAAAAATTTACCATTCCCAAAAACCGGCGTAATCCTTGCATAGATTTTGGCAATGGATACTGTCGTAGGGCTTCGACGCGTTCCGGTGGCGGGCGGGTGCCTTCAGAAGATACTAGGTAACCTAGAAATTTCACCTCAGCCGAACCTAATACACATTTTTGCGGGTTAACGACAACACCGTAGTCAGAAAGTCTCCCGAAAAGAGTGCGTAAATGCTGTTTGTGGTCCTCTTCCGATTTAGAGAATACCAAAATGTCATCAATATATGCATAACAGAAGTCCAACCCATTGGTAACTTCGTCTATGAAGCGTTGAAAAGTTTGTCCAGCATTTCGCAATCCGAATGTCATAAAAGGAAATTCGTAAAGTCCGAATGGAGTGGTAATGGCTGTTTTGCATATATCGTCCGGATTAACAGGTATTTGATGGTAAGCCTTTACCAGATCGATTGTGGAAAATAGCGTGCAATTAGCCAGGTTGTGCGAGAAATCATGTATGTGTCTGACTGGATAGGAGTCTGGTATAGTTCGGGCGTTCAGCGCGCGGTAATCACCGCAAGGACGCCAGCTGTTCTCCCCTTTCGGTGCTAAATGTAATGGTGAAGACCACGGACTGCTTGAAGGTCTAGCGGTACCTGCCTTGACCATTTCCGCGAATTCCTGTTTGGCGATTTTTAGTCTACCTGGAGCTAAGCGGCGTGGGCGGCAGGCTATTGGCTGACCAGGTGTCGTAAGAATGTGGTGCACTGTTTGATGTTTTATTGTCCTGGGCAATCCGGTGGGACGTGTGATGTCCGGAAATTCTGCGAGAAGTGCAGCCCAAGGGGAAGTGTTGGCAACTGATTTTATGCTGCATTGATTTACAGAGGAAACCTTACCATTCACAGCCAAGCCTGTGACACCATCAATAAGACGTTTGGTACGGCAATCCGGCAGCAAGTGGTAGTATGCCATGAAGTCGGAACCAATGATAGGAGTACTCACGTCGGCGACAATAAAACTCCACGGGAAACTGCGTCGAAGTCCTAAATTCAAATTGAGATGGACCGTCCCGTAAGTTTTTATGGTACTGTTGTTGGCCGCGCTGAGGTCGTAATCGGTGGCATGGCGTCGTTCCCGTAGTAGCCGTTAAGGGTAACAAGATAAGTCGGAACCGGAGTCGACTAAAAATTGGCGTTTCGTTATTTGATCTGTAACAAACAGGCGGCTGCTCGGGTTCGGACAGTCTGTTGCCGCCGCTACTGACTGTCGTTGGAGTTTTCCTGATACTTGCAGGGAGCCTTACATTTGGCAGCCTTTTCTCCATAAGTGCTATGATACCAACACCATCCTTTGCCGTTAGTCAGTTCCACGTTTGAACGGTTACGTGACCTAGAGCGGGAACGTTGCGGGCGTTTAGCACATAATTCGCTTACCTGTTTTGCGAGTGC